AGGGGGTAAAGGGGCATCCTCTGCGTTGTCACAGACTTCCATTGAACTTTTATGGCGATTGAAGCCACGCTCATTACATTTCTTTCACAAGCAGCTCGTAAAGGTGGCTGATCTCCACAGTCCCAGTGAACGGTCTGATGATCTGAGCTCCAGCTGTAATAGAGAGAAGCTCCCGAATCTTTGCATCTCTCCAGTTTACCGTCTCAGCTGATTCTGTTCAAAAAGCTAAACTTCTGACCGTGTTTACTTTCAATTTCAATATAGCTTCCTGCCAGAGCTCGGCAGTAACTCCACACGTGATCATGACACCTCTCTCTGCGCCAAGGTGTGAAAAACATTCACAAGTACGGCTTTGCGAAATTATTACTACCAAGCGTGCCTGCACGAATGCTGCAAAATTCCCGCATCGCCATGCCGCCATGGCGCGTTCATAAGACACACCGTGTCGGCGGTATTACGCTGATTTGCCAGTGTGGTGTGTCTTCTAAAAATAGCCGGAGACATGCTGAACATGGAATGAACTGAATATCCTTAGCCCGTCATTCCCTGGCTGATACAAAATGATTGTTACTGATGGCAGCAAATGAAACCGTAAATTAGGGGCCAAATTAACATTTTAGTGGCTCCAAGGGTTCTGCAGGCTTTGGAGGTGTGGGATATGAGGGGGGAACGCTGGAAGCATACTGCTGATTTACAAATGTGATGATGAGGAAGTGAACGCGGGGGTCTGAGACAACTGAGGAGCCCCACCTTTGCCCTGCTTTTACCCTCTGAATGCAGGTCCACATCATGTGTTATGGGTGAGCAGGCACATTTGACCTTTGACTGTGTTCTGGGTTCATCGAATGAGTATGGTTCATTTGTAGAGAGAGAGATTTCAGCACATGTGATTGACAGTTCTCACTCACAGAAAATGAATCTGGATCCACATCTGATTTGCACCATTACAATATCCATGTTAAATGTTCTGGGTGTCGTCTACGGCTCTCACTTGATACAATGTTATCCCCATCAAAGCTGCTTCTCAAATACATGGAAATGAGCAGGGAGTAAATGATCTATCAAATGCCACTCATCTACTATTCAGTCAGACACAGATAATAGAGAGGGGGGATAATTATAGTTGGGAAATAGTGATAAAAATATTCTAATGATATTGCACTGGGAGTTCTGGGCTGTCAGTTAATGATGTCTGTCTCACTTTCCAGCAGCTATTTATGCAAAACTTCTTTACTTAACTGTTTAAGGAATTACGGTTCACAATGAGAAGTTTCTCTTTTCCTCATTAAAGTCCTTAAATGGTCTAATTGATATGTGGCCTCTGACTCCCCATCACGCTATCAGTCTCCAGGAGCTACTATTGTTTATGGAACGCAGCAGCGTTTTTTCTTCAGTCCGCCTGCTAAAACAGTGTTTCAAGTGGAGGTGATGGTGGCTTTGAGGACGACACTCTTCCTGTCTAGGTCCACAACCTTGTAAACCCAAAGGAGCCATAAGGGAGGAGAGTGAGGCGTTAATGATGCTTACCGGGCTTCCTCGGTGGAACGGGATCCAAATAGCACAAATGATCCAAACACTCCCCCTCCCAACTCTTAACAATCACAAAGAAACACATTTAAAACCTCTCTAACAAAGCGCCTCTCAATTACACCTCTCCCATTAGCATACAGTCTTAGGTTGGGAGGAATATGAAAATGACTCAAGTAAAGGAGGGGAGATGCAATGTGGCAGAGATAAGGTGATGTATCTGTTGAGTATCAGTATGGCTGACTTCCAGGGTGAGTGCATAGATGGGGGAGGAAGTAGAAACAGAGTTGGGCTAATTAATACAGTGTATAGTAGGAGGGTTAGTGTGGGCTTTCACTAACTGTGACACCTGCTGACTCCTAAACGCACATTGTGTTGTTTTAATATGACAATTACAGCATTACCATATCTGAGAGATAGCACGGCCCCCCAGGAATCCACCCGCGCTCTCTTTAGAGCCTTTTAGCTCCGCTTCAAAATGTATCTATTGATGCTCCAGCCCTAGAATAAGAGATCAGTTCACTCTTCAGCAGTAAATGCATTTCTTTTTAGCAGCATCGCTGGCGTTGGTTTGTGAGCACATGACAACTTAAAATTCTGCTTTTCTTTAGGCTGAGGTTGAGGCAACAGATGGCCGTTATCCGTCTGTGGCCCTGTTGCAGTCAAAGAAACCCTCTACCCACTGGTTGGGTGAAAACACATGAACGGATGTATAAAGACATAAAGTGTTGGACATGTACATGTGTTACTGCACAAGCATGGCGTCTGTTATGGTAGCATATCCAAACGGTTGTTGGTGTGGCTGCTGATTTTTCCTTCCTGTGACTTTGCTGCAGCTCATATGTTGCATTCATAGCTGGGTATGAAGGAGTCACCCATGTTGCAGTTGAATGAGCTATTTTTATGAGACAACTTCAGACTTGTTGTGAAGGACTGAGAGAAGTTGTGTGAGTCCTGCTGTTGTTTTAGCATAGCTGACACTGCTGTTATTTAGTTTGTTTACCTAATGCATAAGACTTGCTTTCAGTTGTTGCACAATCCATATACTCTACGAGCATGCATGTCTGTGAAAAACTAGAGCAGAAGCAAGTCTATCACTCTAGCGTCTTTGGAAACAGTTGACAGTAATATATAACAATACCATGTATATGATGTTGGTTCTGTCACTGCATAAACCAGCAATGCAAAATGTACACAACAGCAACCACATGGCTTTATGAGCAACATAGTATTTACATGGTACACATGGCAAGAGCAAAAGGGAACATGTCACTGGTCTGCAGATCTAATGAGACAGGTAGGAAACACAAGCAAAGACAGCTTCTACTCTGCATGATGCTACCATGTCTGTGCAGCCACGGCATTGAGCCTAGCACGGGAAAGGGTGTGGAGAAGACTTTTTGGCAATTCCCTAACAGGAAAACAGGGGGTGTAGTGCTTTTCTGAGGGATCTTGCTACCATTGCAGTCTCATCTGTGGTCCATCACAGTGCATTTACTCCTGTGAGTTTGTATTTAGATGTTATATATGTTTTTCAGACTTTTTAAACGTGGACTCATTCTTCTCCACCTCTTTTGCAGTCGCCACTTTCAAACCCACGTTTCCCTACAATTTTCTACCATGACTGAAGTCTGCTGAGCATCTATTACAACTTTCGTTCATGGTGCAGAAATGGTCAGTTTGTGGTTGGTGCTGGGGCCTGTAGCTCAGTAGTTCTCTGCCAGTCTGATGATGGATCTCCCTCAGACATGCTGAAGTGCCCTTTTGCAAAACACCGAACTCCAAATCTGTAACAGTGATGTGCTTGGTGCTGTGAGTAAATTAGAAACACATTGATGAGATTATAAATATTCCACAGAACCTTTTTAATTTCCTTGGTTTTCAAGTGTACTTTTGTATTGTTTGTTGTTGCCACAGCCTGTTGTGATTTTCATTTTAAGGCAATATAACAATGGTCCATTTGTGGATTCTTTTGGTGATAGTGCAGGTTCTCGGTGGTGTTCAAGACCCTCATTGTTCACTTCTGGATGGTGCTTATTTACTTTGTACCTGTGCACCACCCAATAAGGAGATGCTTTGTTTTGTTTTCTTTTGGGGGATCTGCAGCAAATCCGAGCCAGAGTACAGACCCATGATGGAGAGAGGTGTCTCTGCAAAAGTGAAAACAAATTCTCTCCTTGGTTGGCGTGAGCTATGGCACTGTGAGGCTTTATTGTCCCGGCCAAGGTGATAAGGGAGAGTAATTGCGTATTATACTGTCCGAGAATGTCAGGTCCAAACTGAGCATGAGTGCCCCATCCATCAACACACAGTGGTGTGTGTGAGCCTCCGTTCCACACTACACATGCTTGCTTGCATGATGTATTGTACGTGAGCACATGTCTTTGTGCAAGCTCACAGATTCATGTCTGTATATTTAAAACAGACTAGTGATGTTGGAAAGCACGGATATAGGTATTCAGTATTTTCATTTATGTGCATCGTAGCTTTGACCAATCAAGGCATCACTAATGTGTGTGTGTGTTACTTTTTTGGGGGGGTGGGTGTTAGATAGAGCTTGGGAGCAGCATCGTTAATCAGGAGAGGGTTGTGTGTGACTCACCAAGCTGACAATGTTACATCCAATACCCTGCAGTAGCTCACTGGCTAGCCTGCACTATCTGGCCAACACACACACACACACACACACACACACACACACACACACACACACACACACACCATAATCATTTACCTTTCTCATATCTGCAACAGATACAAACTGCATAACAGATGTCTTTCTTTAATGCATTCAGTAGGACTGAATCTCTCTCTCTCACACACACACACACACACACACACACACACACACACACACACACACACACACACACACACACACACACACACACACACACACAAATATGTGCAGCAAATGTAAGTTTGATGTGTTTGTTTGCCATTTGTGAAACCGCTCTTTATGTCTGTGTAGTTGGTGTATTTGTGTAAGTAATTGTTACTAAGTTTATTTATAGAGCAGTTTAAAAAAACAAAAGATACAATCTCACAAAATGCTTCACAATAAGGACCATGTCTCTTTTTTCAGCTGCAAAGCCCATCCAGATTTTTTTTAGGCAGAAGCAGATTTATTAATTGTATTTATTTTAATTAGTTACAATAACTTGGGAAAAAAACTACAGCAAATACTTTTGGCTTAATAGCAAATATTAATGCAGTGCTATAAGGTAACAGGTAAGTGATGGGGTTTTGTATGAGTCTGTGTGAATTTGTAATTGCATAAACCAACAATTACAAAGAGAGTCACTGGATGTGTGTGTCCACTGAGGAACCTTTAACTACAGCCATTTTTAGTATTACATAATCAACTGTAGTCAATTGTTCAGGTCAAGTTGAAGATTATTGTGCAAAAAGGTGAGGCTGAGAATCACAAATCACAAAACGTGTTTTAATCTCTAGCTTTCACTTCCTCGTAGATCTAACTGTGCGGAGAACATCCGGAAGCACATTCTCCACACGGGGAAACACGAGGGGGTGAAGATGTACAACTGTCCCAAGTGTGTCTATGCCACTAATGCTCCCATGGACTTCCGCAATCACCTGAAGGAAAGTCACTTGGATATTGAGAATCCAGACCTTGCCTACCTGCACGCAGGTAAGGTTTCACAAGCACTCTCAAGGAGTCACCTGAATGATGGAAAATGAATTACACAGCATCTGATTATCGGTGCTCTGCCTGTCCGCTAAGACATCTGTGTGATTCTTGTCCCAATAAAACATTCCTATCAGAAGGATTTAATAGAAAACTCAGTCTCTCTAGAAATGTTGCTATATAAAAGATCCCTGAAGACTCATCAGAGAGATATTATGTTTAATTCCAGGATAATCATTTCTAATTTGCACACTGCTTCTTGGAACTACACTCTGTTATGATTGTCTTGTTTGTCTTGGCTCTTCTAGAGCAACTGAAGGTCAGAGATTTGATGATCTGTTCTGTAGTCAGAGAAGGGTTCTTGTAGTCAGAGAAGGGTTCTTTTCCCATTTCTTCAGGGTTTTTTAAGGAAATCTGTCTGGTATCATAATTCGTTCTGTTTTAGGGACCGCAGTAGCTCAGGAGGTAGAGCGAGTCCAGTATTCGGAAGGTTGCAGGTTTAATCCCTGCTTCCACCAGAGAATTCTGCTGTTGTGTCCTTTGGCAAGACACTTAACCTGCCTTTCCTGTTGGTGGTGGTTGGAGTAACCAATGGCCCCAGTGAATGGCAGGCCTTGCCTCTGTCAGTGTGGCAGCTATAGCTACATTGTAGCTCATCATCACCAGCGTGCAGTGTTTTCCCTACAGAGACTCAGGCCCTGTCCACACATAGCCGGGGATCTGCCAAAACGTAGATATTTTTCTACGTTTTGGCCTGTCATCCACACAAAAATGGATCTTTTTAAAAACTCCGGCCAAAGTGAAAATCTGCGTTTTCTCCGTTTTGGGTGTCTGCGTGTGGACAGACAAAACCGGAGTTTTAAGGTCCGCAACGTCACTTTCCGCGACAAAAAATGCTGACATCACGTGTGCGACCTGTGTTTACACTAGCCGACAGCATGGATGCCCTCAGAGCTGCGCTCGCTTTATCAATTGTCCAAGCGCTTTTTGCTTGTTTGTTTTTGCAAGCGGAATTACTGCTCCTTGCAGAAAACCACAGACGAAGGACGAGGTTAAGAACGGGGGAAGTACTGCCGCCTACAGGTCTGGCATGTTCCAACGTATTTATCCAGGTACGTGTGGACAGAGTTTTTTTTTTAATGAGGTGGTGTGGATGCAAGTTTTTGGAGGGGCGGATATTCGTTTAAAAAAAACAGCTACGTGTGGACTAGGCCTCAGGCGTGGCAAAATCCCCTCACCTCCCCACTCTCAGCAAAACAGTCTGCAAATGTTTAAATTGGTTAAGTCTCAGGAGCAGCATGTCGCGGCCTTTATGCACCGGTTCTATTTTCTACGCGCGACGCCTCTGAAACGGGTCAAGTTCGACATTTTTGGGGAAGGAAAGACAGGAAATCGGACACGGAAATGGAGAGAAGCTCCCGAGATTTTCAGAATAAAGAAACGTACTGCCTTCCGGTTGCTTTACTTTAAAAAAGGTTACTAACTGTGCGGCCCCGTGAGAAGTCATCACCTAGCTAGTGGTCTCCTTTGTTTTTCAGGTCCGTATTGGCGATTATAAAACGGACAGAACATAAAACACAAACCATGTTGTAGTTTTCTCCTGCTTGTTGTGTTTACTGACGAAGTCACTCGTGTGACTTCGTGCTCGGTCGGTGACAGCTGCTCCCCTGCTGCTTCGCGTCTCGTGGGAAGGGCCAAGCAGCAGCTTACGCGAGCAAGACGTGCTGCTGCAGTAACGTGCTGCTGACGGCTCCGGTGGAAACCCGGGGTAAGATGGCACTATACAAATACAGGCCATAAAAAGTGATCAGGGTCTACTGAACTTAACAGATTTGAAATTTTTAATCTTTGTTGTAAAAAAAAAAAAAACTTAAAAAACTAGCATAAACTAAAACTGCCATTCAACTTAGATGGCCCGTTTTTTAAAAGTATTTTCATCCTGATCTTGCAAACCAGCAACACTTAAAGGTGCAATAGAATAGACTGTATTGATCCCACAGTGGGTTCAGAATAGAACTGAAGAAAAATAACAACAAAAGCACATGTATATACACGTAGGCAGTAAGCTATTATTGTGATCTTCGACCACTAAAAACCATGAATAAAAATTAAAAATTTGGGTTCCAGAACTATGGTTCATACTGTAAGGGACAGGAACATACTATGTTAATTTTGTATTGCACAGGTATCAAACACATACTGAGTATTGCATTGATGTTTTTGTGTAACAGGATAATGCCAGTACAGCTTTAACTGAGGAGTTATACATTTTTACTGCAGAGGGGATGAATGACCTACGGCAGAGTTCTGCTTTACATCTGGGGTGTCTCAATCTGCATATGAAGGAACTGCTCGTGGTCTCCACTGTGGAATGCAGTGGGTGGGAAGGTTTTTTTAAGATGGAGGTCATGTTCACCACCATCCTCCTTTCACACATCTCCACTGACTCCAGTGGGCAGCCCAGAAACAAGCTAGCTTTGTTATGTGTAATTACTAATAATATGTAAGAATGAAGTAAGAATAACATCCTGTGGTCAAATTTAGTTGCTGCAGCCAATTTTTCTAAACAAAAGTTACCATCTCACTGTTGTTCTTAGAGTTTCATGGCAGTTGCCAGTTATGGGTCAACACAAGCAAAGACGAGTCATACACTGTAAGTGGAAAGTATATATATACATTGTCATATCAGGTGCGAGCACTCTTGGGTGTTTTACAGTAGGGAGCACTTACTACATTTATTAAGGCTATATGCCTCCGGCATTGGAGGAAGTGTGGTTGTTTGCTGTCCTGCAGTTAGCTTGCTGTTACAGTTCCAATCGAGTCATTAAAGGAAGTAAAACACCGCAGTTGACTCAGTATTCACTTCACACATACATTTCTATGAAATATCTATTTGAGATATTTGTAGAGCTGAATGGTTGCTTCTAATTTAATGTTAGCATTTCTAGCTCAACATTACCCTCTAGCTTGTATTATTGAGTGACTTTTAATGCATTTGCCACCTCAGTGGCTTTTCTGACTCTGGTGTACCACAGAGATCAGCCCTAAGTCCCCTGGTCTTCTCCATTCATACATTTTTATTCGCTAACCTATCTAAGAACAATGCACACAATCATTCTTACATGGCAAATGTTACATCTCAGTTTTTCAACACTTTGATCCTAATGCTCCAAAAAGTCCTTAAATTCAGTGAAGGTAATTCATAGATATGATACAGTATGGCAGGGTTTTTCCTGGCTCAAATTGAGGCAGAGGTGGTACCATCCTGACCATGTGCCAGCACATGCATACTCTGTGCATTCAACTGTCTCACTTTTTAAAGGCTAAATATTATAAAAGGCTCAGTAATAAGCATTAGATTGGTGTTTAGTTCCCCTTTTCCCATCTGATAATTATAGTAAAAATATTTTTAAATATTTGACCTACATTTCAGTAACATTTTAGGTTTGTATTAATAACACCCATCTTAGTCAAAATAGCACATACCTATATCCAGTAAATTATAATACATTTCATTAACATGCATTTGTATTGGAAATGCTAGTAACATTTAATTTCTGCTGCTAACATTGTAATGGTGGCATGTCTAATATGTATGGGTTGACAATAATCCAATTAAAATAATGTTTAAAGATAGAATCGTTTAATTCAAAGATGTTGCACCAGTGCTACGTTTAAAAATAGACAGACATTCACAGGCAGTTTTTATCATCTCACTGTACAGACCTGCTCTGATATGGAAGAACCTGGGGGAAAATCAGGACATCAATAGCACCAACCATAGATACGTACCAACTAGCGAGAAAAGCAAATTTTGATCTTTTTCTGCAGCGGTTTTGGTGCTTTTCAGTGCACCGCTGCTGATACAGCGCCCTTGTAGTGGCGCAACGCTGCAACTGCAGTTAAAGTAACATCCATATAGCTGGGGGCAGAGTGAAATCAGGCTGGGGCGACAAAAAATTATCTGGAGGCAGCCACCACACAAATTTGAATGCAGGAAAAACCCTGCAGTATGGTATGCTTCATTATTCACCAATGACTGGAGTCAAAGGGCTGTGAGGCAAAAGATCTATACATATTTAAAAATGTTGGTCTTATAATATTTCAGGCCTGTTTGGTCTAATCTTGATATTCTTTCGTATTTCACCCAGTCAGTTAGTAATCTAAGATAAGAAAAATCCTAATTTTGTTTTTCAGCTCAAATTCAAAAATGTTTTTCTAATAATTATAGAAAGAATATATCATTATGTATAGCTGCTGACATCCAAATTTTGTAGTTAGGTAGATCTATTTAAGCCATCTAGTGTTAGTTTAAGAGTAGCAGCTGGACAAAGACATATCCCACCAAAGCTTGTTTCCTTCTTGATTTATTTAAATGATCTTAAAATCTTACTAATTGCCTCTAAAACCTTAATCAACTTTAACCCAAATTAGGGCTGCTCGATTATGGCAAAAATAATAATCACGATTATGGTGACTGAAATTGAGATCACGATTATTTAGGACGATTTTTCAATTTATGTTGATTTTATTTGTTTTTATTCAGTCATAAAATTGCTCAGGGCACAATCAGGACAAAAATAAGAAACAAGATGATCACTAAAAGAACTCCTGATTTCCAGGATAAAAAGACCAATATACTTATAGCTCATAGTCTATGACCCAAGGGCTGTAGACCTTGAGTCTAACCAGTACAGACCCAAATACCAATATCTTGCAAATACTGACAGCAAGAATTATACAGTGGCATTTATAACAAATAAATGCAAATAAATTGATGTTCACAAAATGTTACATAACATTTATTGAGTCGTGTCAAGGTGCTGTAGGAGAGTGCACTAGCACCGTGTCCTCAGAGAGATTAGTTATTAGTTATCAGCGTGAGGAACTTATTTCTACCTTATTTATAAACTATTTATTTACAGGTCCATCAGTTAATGTAATAATTGTCCCGACCACAGCTGCACCCCCACCCCCCCACCCCGGTCTCACAGCAATCGGGC